ACTACAAGAGGTTGTTCTGGGCCAAACACACACACAAAAAAAGGTGTTATTTGAGTCTAGGGATCAGGATGTGGAGGCAGGAGATGAGGAGCAAAAAGAAAACCATCTGCACAAGTGAGCCCAAGGAAAAGGCAGAACCAACAGAAGCAGAGCAGATGGTCAGTGTTCTTACCCAAACAATGGTTCTCCTTCCAAGGTTCACTTGGGATATACTGGTTTCATTCGTCTTTTTTTTTTTTTTTTAATTTACTTATTTTTGAGAGAAAGAGAGAGCTGTGTGCACGTGCTTGAAGGTTGGGGAGGGGCAGAGAAAGGGAGAGACAGAGGGTCCAAAGCAGATTCCACCCTGACAGCAGAGAGCCAGATGCAGGGCTTGAACTCACGAACCATGAGATCATGACCTGAGCTGAAGTCAGATGCTTAACCAACTGAACCATCCAGATGCCTCTGGTTTCATTCTTCTAAGGGAAGAGCAGCTACTCATAGATCACCTCCTTTCTTTGTCCTCCTCAGGCTCTGGCTACCCCCTCTTGCTGAAAGCCATTCTTTCTTGGCCTCCACACCACTATCCTAGCTTTTCTCCTAATATTCTGATCACCCTTCTTGGTGGATTTACTTTTGATTGGGCTTCTTCTGCTTTCCACCCTATAACTAGATAGTATCCTCCACACACTCAGTTGTTAGTTTGTGCTCTCTCCCCTCTCACTGGCAGCTCACTGGATTTAACTATCACTATAAGACTGATGACCACCAAATCTATAGCCTCCTCACAATGCCAACCTCCCCGCTCTCTAGCTATGTGAGACATATTCTCACTCAGACGTCTTGTGACCTCAAAGTCTTAGAAATCTGAAATGAAGTTAATTGTCTCCAAACACATTCCTTGCCATCTGCTCCTGTCACTGTCAGCCCACAGCAGTGGAAATGATTGGCCTCACCTCCTAACTTGCCATTATTCACTCATGCCTCTGTTTCTGCTCATGTTCTTTCCCCTAGCAAAGTTCCAACTTCTTACTTCCTGCTATATAGACTTCATGTTTGCCTTCTCCCAGAATTCATACACTGAAACCTCATCCTTGATGTGATTGATGGTATTTGGAGGTGGGACCTTTGGGAGATGAACAGGTCATAAAGATGGAACCCTCAAGCATGAGATTAGTGTCCTTATTAAAGAGGCCCCAGAGCACTCCCTTGTTCCTCCACTATGTAAGAACATAGTAAGAAGACAGGTGTCTGTGAACCAGAAAGGGAGTTCTCAGCAGACACCAAATTTGCAGATGCCATGATCTTGTACTTCTCAGCCCTCAAAACACTGAGGAATCAATGTTTGTTTTTTTATTAGACGCCCAGTTTTTGATATTTGATTATATCACCCCCAAACAGACTAAGGAAGACATTCTTTTAATCCTCTCCAAAATCTTTTCTGATTACTTCAGCTTTCAGTGACTCTCAACTCTTCACATTTAATGTCTGTATCGCAACATGCAACATCTAATTAATTCTCTCTTGCATTTTTTTGCCATGTATCCATCTGGGTCCTAAACTAATCTTAGCTGAATATATATATATATATATATATACTACACATCAGGACTGCGGTACTCTCTACATTATAAGAATTATTCAGCACCATCAAGTGGGAATTATTCTTGGGCAGCAAGTGTGGTTCAGTGTCCGCAAATCAATCAACGTGATTCACCACATTAATAAAAGAAAGGATAAGAACCATATGATCTTCTAGCAAAAAAAAAAAAAAAAAAGCATTTGACAAAATACAGGATCCATTCTTGATAAACCCTCAACAAAATAGGGATAGAGGAAACATACCTCACTCTCATAAAGCCCCACAGTTAATATCATCCTCAATGGGGAAAAACTGAGAGCTTTTCCTCTCTGGTCGGGAAGAGACAAGGATGTCTACTCTTACCATTACTATTTAACATTGTACTGGAAGTCCTAGCTTCAGCAATCAGACAACAAAAGGAAATAAAAGGCATCCAAACTGGCAAGAAAGATATAAAACTTTCAATATTTGCAGACGACATGATACTCTATGTAGAAAACCCAAAAGATTCCACCAAAGAATGGTTAGAACTCATACATTAATTCAGCAAAGTCAAAGGATATAAAATCAACATACAGAAATCTGTTGCATTAGTATATACCAAATATGAAGCAACAGAAAAAGAAATCAAAGAATTGATCCCACTCACAACTGCATCAAAACAATAAGATACCTAGGAATAAACCTCACCGAAGAGGTAAAAGATCTGTACTCTGAAAACCTTAGAACACTTGGTAACGACACTGACGAGGACACAAAGAAATGGAAAAATATTCTGTGCTTATAGATTGTTCAAAGGTCTATACTACCCAAAGCCATCTATGCATTTAATGCAATCCCTATTGAAATACTACCAGCATTTTTCACAGAGATAGAAAAAACAATCCTTAAATTTGTATAGAACTACTAAAGACCCTGAATTGCCAAAGCCACCTTGAAAAAGAAAAGCAAAGCTGGAGGCCTTATGATTCCAGACTTCAAGCCATATGACTAAGCTGTAGTCATCATAACAGTATGGTACTGGCACAAAAACATACACATAGATCCATGGAACAGAATAAAAACCCAGAAATGGACACACAGCTATATGATCAATTAATTTTTGACAATGCAGGAAAGAATATCCAATGGAAAAAAGTCTCTTCAACAAATGGTGTTCGGAAAAACAGACAGTGACATGCATAAGAATCAAACTGGACCACTTTCTTATGCCATTCATTTAAAAAAAAAAATCAAAATGGACAAAAGACCTGTGAGACAGGAAATCATCAAAATCCTAGAGGAGAACACAGGCAGCAACTTCTTTGACCTTAGCCAGAACAACTTCTTAGTAGACATGTCACCAGAGTAAAGGGAAACAAAAGCAAATATGAACTATTGGGACTTCATCAAGGTAAACAAACAAACAAACAAACAAAAAACCAAAAAAACAAACAAAAAACCTCTGTACAGTGAAGGAAACAACAAAACTAAAAGGCAGCCTATGAAATGGAGGAAGATATTTGCAAATGACATATCTGATAAAAGATTAGTATCAACACAAAAAGAACTTGTCAAACTCAACACTCAAAAAACAATACAGTGCAAGAAATGGGTAGAAGACATAATAGACATTTTTCCAGAGAAGACATCCAGAGGGATAACAGACACATGAAAAGATGCTCAACATCACTCATCATCAGGGAAATACAAATCAGAATCAGAGTGAGATACACCTGGCACCTGTCGGAATGGCTAAATTTAACAACAGAAGAAACAGCAGGTGTTGGTGAGGATGTAGAGAAAGGGGGACCCTTTTGCACTGTTGGTAGCAATGCAAACGGGTGCAGTCACTCTGGAAAACAGTATAGAGGCTTCTTAAAAAGTTAAAAGCTGTGCATTTAAAAGCTGTGTCCTCTATTTAGAGGAGCACCTGGGTGGCTTAGTCATTTCAGCATCTGACTCTATTTTGGCTCAGGTCATAATCTCATGGCTCATGAGATCAAGCCCTGTGTTGGGCTCTGTGCTGACAGGAGCAGAGCCTGTTTGAGATTCTCTCCCTGTTTCTCTGTCCTTCCCCCATTCTCTCTCTCTCTCTCTCTCTCTCTCTCTCTCTCTCACAAAATAAATAAACTTTATTTTTAAAAAAAAGTTAAAAACAGAACTGCCCTCCACTACTGGGTATTTACCCAAAGGATAAAAAAATACAAAAGAGTACATGCACCCTGATGTTTATAGCAACATTATCAAAAATAGCCAAATTGTAGAAAGACCCTAAATGTGTCCACCAACTGATGAATGGGTAAAGATGTGGTATATATATTCCAGATGTGATGCATGTATACACACACACACACACACACACACACACACACACATTTAATGGAATACTACCCAGCCATCAAAAAGAATGAAATCTTGCTATTTGCAGCAATGTAGCTGGAACTAAAGTGTATTATGCTAAGTGAAATAAGTCATTCAGAGAACGACAGATACCATGTGATTTCACTCATACGCAGAATTTAAGAAACAAAACTGATGAAGATATGGGGTGGGGGGAGAAACAAAAAAGAAAAAAGAGAGAGGGAAAGTAACCATAAGAGACTCTTAAAGATAGAGAACAAACTGAGGGTTGATGGCAGGAGGGAAGCAGGGGAATGGACTAAATGAGTAATGGGTATTCAGGTGAGTACTTTTTACGATGATGAGCACTGGTTGTTGTTAAGTGATGAGTCACTGAATTCTGTCTCTGAAACCAATATTGTACTATCTGTGAACTAACTAGAATTTAAAAAAAATTTTTTTAAAGAAAAATAAAAAGGACTGCGGGACTGTCTGAACATCATTCTACCAGATCCTCATTATAGCTCTGTGGGGTCTCATTCTCAATATTAGAGATAAAAATGCTGAGATTAAGAGAGAAAGTGATTTACTCAAACACATGGGGCAAAACAGCACAGATAAAATTCATATTCATTTCTGTCTGAGGACAAATCAGATCTTTCCCCTTTGTGTTGACTGAGTCCAGTTTCTTTAAACTAGTTTTCTAAATCCCTGAGTTTGATTTCTTGTCCCTATGGAAGAATGTGGGTTATAATCTGGAGCATATGTGCAAATACTATCTTTCTTCATCCTTGTTCAAGACAACATAAGGCATAAATACATACATGTAGCATCATTGATTTCCACTTAAAAATCCAGTAAGTTCTAATATACATATTAAATTGATTTCATATTATCAATGAAGAACAAAATATAAATGAAATTTTTTAAATGTTATGCAATTTGAAGTATTTGAGAACCAATAAAGGCACATATATGCTATAGTCATGTATAATACAAATTTGTATAAAATTCGTGTTTAAAAGTCTGATTATTATTTATAGAACCTCAGACAAATTTAATTGCCAGTCACCAATTTTTAGCTCTCTTTTTAAAGCTTTTTCTTCTTTAACAGGATGTGGCTGCATTCTACCTAGTGATTTTACTGACGGATAACTTACAAGAAAATGGTGGAAGATGCTGTTTCAAATCTGCCCATGGCCCCTCAGAGCCCCTTACCAGTTTTGTGCCCTGCAGGCTGACCACCAATGGCCAGCATCTACATCTTTATAGGAGCGGTGGCTTCAGGCTCCTGGAATCTACTCTGCCAGTATGGGACAGTCCAGATAAAACAGAACCAGAGCTTGAACTCAAGACCACTGACCTCTGACCTGAATGAAGTTACACATCTCTTTCTACATTTACAAAATTAAGTCATTCACCAAAGAAAAAAAAATTCTATAACAGTATTACTATTATCTCCTGTTCCTATTCCGTGTCTTACTGCTTCCTTTTATAGAAACTCCTCTTCTTGATCTGTCTTCCCCTGCTATATTCCCCTCTAATAGAGCACATTTCCATCACTTCTTGGATCTCCTATTCTCCAGGATCTTAAGTGACCAACTTCTTTGAATTTTTAGAGATCATTCCTTTTATTAAACTATAGCATCTTCTGCATAAAATGTATTTTACCAAAACACGATCTGTAAAACCTAAAAAATGAAGACAGAAAGTGCTTGAGGCCCTGAGGGTGGCTCAGAATCCTTGGTCAATGCAAGGACAGGAGGCAGCAGCCACTGGGTAAGGTGCCTTTCTTTTATAAAATGCAATAGGGCCTCAGTGCCCACAGCCCTGTTCTCAGCATGGCCAGGAGGAAGCTAGCATTTACATAGCTGCTCAATACTGAAAGGCTACTGTCAGTTGCATCTCTTGCAACTAAAATATAAATGTAAGGATTCTCAAAATGGGGAGAGATGGAGGTGAGGAAGAAGAGAAACATCACAAGGGGAATGTATGTTGACTGGATGTCTTAGCCTGCTGCGCTACATTTGAGTTACATGAGCACAGGCATAGGGAGGACACATCTCTGTAGTGTCTGCATGTGCTAGGCTTAGAAAATGAATTTTACTGTGCTTTTAAGGTAGATTATGCCAACAGTGTAGCTTAGGTGGTGATTTCAGCCAATGTCAGGGTCCTGGCTAGAGACAGGAGGAACAGGCTATTAACATCTGCAATGCCAATGCTTTTTGTTTCTGGTAAGAGAGAAGCTCCTGTACCAGGAAACACACCAAAGCAATGCCAAGCACTGGGGAGAAGTGTGTGGTTTCCCAAACAGACATGTAAATATGGCAAGAGCTGGTGCCTTTTTATCTGAGAGTCGGTACAGTAGAGCCCAGTGACTCAGTCAATCTGGGAAAGAGCCTCGATGCTGTCAGTTAAGTCATCATTTCACATGGAGCACTGCTGCAAGTTTCATCACAGTTTTTGTTTGTGAACTCAGTACAATTAACTAGTATGGAACAGGGCTCCAGCTTACTAGCCACAAATGGTCCTGGATATCATATCCTAACTCCCACATAACAGGAACTATTGCTCTTTTTTTTTTTTTTTTTTAATGTAAGTTCTATACCAATTCAATGTTCTTACAAACTGAGCCAGCCAGGCACTCCAAAATGGTGACTCTTTTAAAAAATAAATAAATAAACAATGTGGGCTCGAACTCACAACCCCAAGATCAAGAGCTGCATGCTCTACAAACTGAGCCAGTCAGGGACACTTACTGCTCTTGATTGCTCTGTCTCTGAGCCTGTTGTTCTGATACGGTGGTCTTCAATTCAGAGCATCATGGGGGGCATTTGAGTATCATCCCTAAGATACTGGTACCATTGTTCTGTTTTCTTACAACTGTCCCTGTGTGTCCTCACCTGAACAAAGGCTCTAGTTTTAATGATGGCATCCACGTTCATACACAGAGATGCATGTAAAGGGTTCATTATTTCTAATGGAAGAACAGAAAGTTAGAGAAATAAAGCATTACCTGCCATTTTCGTGATCAACACTTGCAATAGAGCACATAAATGCTTCAGTTTACAGAAATAGCTAGACCTTCCTGAACCCTCTCAGTGATTAATTAGAAAGCCTGTCTTACAGATTTTTCTCTCAGGTGTAGTAACCTTGTAGCCCTTACCATTAAGAACTAATAAATAAATGCTTGGTTAAGCATAAACAGGGTGATAGGCAGTGCAAGAGTGATGATCTTGGTTTTTATGCAATATGCTCACTCTGTCATTTTACCTTGGAGGACAAAATAATATACAGAACTAAAAGTTACAAAAGCAACTACAGAGAGCAATTTGTTATTATCCACTTAAAAATGTTAATAGCCGTTACTATGAAAGATCTTTGTGATTAATCGTGTTTAATTTTAATCAATAAAAATTCATGATTTTAAGAAAGTTTCATATTTTGCAATTAAACTGAAGACATGTACTAGGTAAAGACATCTAGAGGGTGATCAGATGTTTAAATTTACTGTAAAAAAAAAAAAGTAAATAAACTAGATCACAAAGCAAGTATTCAAAATCACATGGAAGCCTGTCCATTTAGTAAATATTTCAGTAGCTGATTTGCACAACTGTTGTAAGTGACCTATCTTATTAAATACAACTCCTCTCCTTTCCATATATTTTATGCCAATAAACCCAGATAACTGCCAACGGCTCCCATCAGTATGTCTTTTTAAATAAACTTTAGAAAGTAGTATGTCAAGCTGGGAGCTTTGACAATCATGAAATGTTACCATAATCTTCAAAATTGTAACTTCTTTCATGAACATGACAATAAAAAGTAGTTAATGTCATTTTAGCATTGCAATCAGAATCCCACAAACATGACAGATATTTAGAAAAAAATCAAACTAGCTGATGACAAAATATTTGGATAACTATCTAAATCTATAAATAACTAATTCATTCTAAAAGACTCTTTAGAGTAGCAACAAATTATTTTATAAAATCTAGGACACAGTATGTGAGTCAGATCATTCACTTTTGTTACTGGTGCAGTGTGGGTTATGAAAATCTGATAAATTTGTACTTCTTTGAGAACTGCCAGATCAGTCAAGGATTTCCCTTAAACCAAAATAGTGACTTGAGACATACACGAAAATATATTCTTAAGGTAGAATAAAGAGTTCGGATCTAATTTTGCTCTCTCACGACCACATAAAGTATCTCCCAAAGATGCTGCCTTATACCTTGAATAATTCCTAAATAAAAAATTGCCGATATACTTGGATAAGAGAGCTCTGGATTAGGTGTGAACAGGGAGTAAGAGAGCTACCTAAAAATATCCCGGTGTGATTCTTTGCAAATCCTCTTTCTGTTACACAAAATGTTAGCATGGCCCTCACATTCAAACAGATGCAAAAAACTAAAGACCAGTAAGTTAAATTGTAAGCTCTTTATGCAAAAAAATAACTTTAGCTTTCTTTGTAATTCCTCCAAAGATTAACATTGTGCCACTGTTAGCATCCTGCATATACTGATCAAATCGGTTTTACCTCCCCCCTTCCCCCCCACAGGAAGAAATGAAAAGGAAGAATACCCAAAAGACAGCATCAGAAAGGTGTTCCATTTTTCTGGGTATTTAAGTCATACCTACTTTTCTGGATATTTAAAACTACTCATTAATAAAACTATATGCTCTCATCTATAGAGGGCAGTTAATAGTCACTAAAATCCCACTACACAGAAATAACTTCAGTATTTGGTTATTGTCTTTGTAAACATCTATGTTCATACAACATTTTTTAAAGTAGGATAATTCTATAAATGATGGCTTTAATAACAAAAAAATAAAGTGAAAGGGGAAAAATGGATTTCTGAGAAATATTCACTGAATTGTTAGAATTTCATAAAAATTCTTTTAAATATATTTAAGAAAAAAAAAAAAAACACTATCAAAGAACTAGAAGTGGCTGAAGTCCATACTTAAAAAGCATCTCTTGAAAGTGGATGGTAAAGGACATACTAACACATCAGTGGTCCTGCCTACCACTTCCCTTTTTCTCCACTCTTCAACAGTTCACGTAGGTGTGTGGGCACACTTATGTATATTTTTATACTTTCAGGATTTATAACCCTCAACCACATATCTAGATTTCTATAATTATTTAATCTTAGCTATTTTTATTAAGTGTTTTATTTGGATTCATCTTTTGCCAATAATAATTATCATAGGTGCTATAGTCCCTAAATTCTTACCTACTTGAGAATGTTGTCTTCAATATATGAAAGATAACTTACCTATGAATGAAATTCTTATATCCTATTTTTTTGCCCCTGGAAACTAATAGCCATAGTTTAGTTGCTGTCATTAAGTGTTGCTTTGAACAAGTTTAAGACATACCTGTTTTTCTCCTTTATAAGACTTGATTTCTCAGCTAATATGTCCAAATAATTTTATCCTTAAATACCAGAAATTATATTAGCATATGTTTTGGTATTGATTTTGTATTAAGCCTCACATACAAAGGGTCTTTGTCAATATACAGATCAAATATTTCTTCAGGAATATTTTCTTATATATAACGTGATTTTTTGTTCCATTTGTTCTGCTATTCAGAAATTTTTTGATTGTTGAACTCCTTTGTGTGCCATATCTATCATTTCCTTTATAATGTTTATAGTTTTACCCTAATTTGGTTTGTGAGATTTATCTTCCACAATTTAATTTCTCAATTCTGATCCCCATGACTTGATTTTCATGAGTATACAGTTGACCTTTGAACAACACAGAGGTTAGGGGCACAAACCCCCTGCAAAGAGCTGAAAATTCTTATGTAACTTTTGACTCCCCAAAAACTTCACTGATAGACCACTGTTGATGGAAGCCTTACCAATGGTGTGAACAATTAATCTGTTATTTTGCATATTATATGTATTATATACTGTATTATTACAATAAAGGAAGCTAGAGAAAATAAAATATTAAGAAAATCCTAAGGAAGAGAAAATACATTTATAGTACTATATAAAAAAAGTGACTTGCACAGTTAAAATTCATGTTATTGAAGGGTCAACTATATGAATTTTTATTGCCTTTAAGAGGGCTTTCAGGTCTATAGTGATTTCTAGTTTTTCCATTTTTCTCTGAGTTTTGCAGCTCAGTTTTTATTTTCTTTTATTTCATTCTATCACTTTTTTGAATGGTCCTTTGATGGTTTTCAAGAGCTCGAGTTGTCTGTAATTTCTTTGAGACTCTGGAGAATTATTTTTTTGAACACAGAGTGTTTCTCTGTGTCATCACTCTTCAGATGCATTTTCTTCATTTGTCTTTCATTTTCCCTTTTTTCCCCAAGTTTTATGCATAGGTCATAGCTGGGTTTTTATGCTGATAAGGTAAACTTTCTTAAGGACAGGCTGGTTTTGTTGTTGTTGTTTATTTGTGCTCTGTGGCTTCTTCAAGCCTCTCTGAAATTAATATATACTCCTATTATCATCAAGAGTTCTTCTAATACTTGCATCATGAATATCTTGAGGTCAGTGTTAACAACCTTTCATCCAATGCTTCAGAGGTTCTCACACATCAAAGGTTTCCCAAAAATTCATACCATGGGCTGGCTGATTCTCATCTCTTTTCTTTTCTCAGTGCTTATCTATCACACTCCTCCAGGCTCCTCTGAAAGTCTAATCACTGTTCACCAAACATTTGTGGGCTAACCTTTCACTCAACTTCTGTCTCCAAGTGACATGTGATGTTTGTGAAAACAATTTCAGGGCATTCATACACCTCTGGAATGGAGGACTAAGCAAAGGATCAAATTGGCTCTATGTTATTAAATACCACGCTGCTGTTCTTTTTTGGTTGGAAAAGTGGAGAGCATATTTTAAAGGTACTATCCTTTATTTTGACATGGTTTTACGTTTTTGTATCAGAGATTATTGTGTTTCTTTTACTCTCCAATTCAGATAGTGAGTAAGCAATGTTCTTTCCTCCTAATTAGGTTTTAGTTATATCTAGGGGCTCCCTAGGTACCCGTGGCCAAGAACTCTAATATAAATAAAAATGCAATATCATTTTCTGTTCTATTATAATTATCAACGAAGTTAAACCCACTGAGATGACTATTAAGCTGCAACAGAAACTTTATGAGATGTGTGGTCCCTGAAAACACTTTTTACCTTAGTTCTAAAACAACCCAAGTTGTCAGAAAGGGTTAAGCTTATGTATCACCTTCTTTTCAAAAGCATACTTTCCCAGACCTTCAGAACTTTCCTAAGCCACTCTGCCCTGGCTGTGGTGTGCTGTAATTATCTGTGGCACTGA